CTCCTCTTGCAGAGTGGCTACTGCCAATCTTTTTCTCTCTTTTGATCACAATACCATGTCCTTTAAAAATCTTTGCTTCCTTTCACACTACATAGTCACTGACTGTGCAGGCCTCTAATGGTATCCACAGATGCTGTCAGTATCTCCCTGCGCTGATTAAACCTCTCAGCTCCTTCTCAGGTGTTGGCAGTCCACACTTTCTTTTCCATATCCGCAGTTTCTTTTGTTTCTTCTCCTTCCCCAGTCAGAGAAGCTTCTTGCTTGCTTTAGGAAAGAACCATTTACGTGGCTCTGCTGTTCTACTCTCCATTTCACCCACTTCACCAGTCTGTTTTACCCATTAAAGGATTCTTCATGACAAGTTCTCTTACTTAACCCCTGTGACAATTTAAGAGCATTTGTGTTTCATTCTTACTCCTTTCAATGACATGGCGATTTTTGCCCTTCTGTCAGGGCCACAGTTCATAACTTACAAACTTCTTCTCTGTTACCATCTGATCTCTCCCCTCATTTCTTATTTCAAGATTTCTTCATGAAAGGTCTTTTTTCTCATCTTTGAAAGCATTACTGGACCTTTTCTCTTTTAGTTCTGTCATCATTTGCTGAGCCACAGGAAATGCTCTTTACAGCTTCCCTGGAGCGTCTGGTGCTGGCTTCGGAAGCCTGTTAACCCACTCACCCAGTCCGATTTCCCCAGTATCCTAAAGTACTTCTGGAGTCTGAAACTCCCAAATCTAGGGAATCCATGCCCTCGTCACTCAGTGTGTTCACAGCAAGAAGCAGGAAATCAGCTAGTGGGCAGACCTGCTCCATGCTTCTCTTCTGCTCACTCTCATTATGACCTTTCTCACTGCAAGTGTGAGACATGCCCAGTATAACATGGCAACTTCATCCAGGAAGTCTTGATGCTTTGGAGAGAGAAGGCAAGGTTTCTTTAGGCAGTGATCCTCATACAATTCTGACCATGATTAATAGGAGGGAGGAACCGAAAGTCTGAGGAGGAGACAGAACAGGTAGAGATGCTTGTGGTGTACAAATCAGAAGTTTGTTATTGCACTGTTGTTCTCAGTCACTGAATCCTTCCAGATCTCCCTTTTTATCTCAGTTATTCATACTTGAGTTACCTACATTAAGTGTTACCAATTAATTGCTGAAATTCCTTTTTTTCTCATGGAAACATCTGTAATTCCTTTGATTTATGAATTTATGGTGAAAGTGAAAAGAGGACTGAGGTAATGGAAAACGTTTTCCCTGAAGAGAAATACCATATTTTTTTTGTTTGTAAGATAACAACTTGGGTGAAATTATTATTTTTTTGTCCAATCAAACCTTACTTTTACAAGGTTACTTCACCCAGCTAAAATATCTGAAGCAAAAAGAGTTCAGCAACTTAGTAGAACTTTGGACAGAATTTGTCCTGTACATAAGAAATTTTCAAAGATATCTTTAGTGTTTCTTCCTTGATAACTTTCAGTGCTGCCATCTCTAATTGCGTAGTGCATAGCTCTCAAAAGTACAGCACTATTTTATTAGAAAGTGTAAATAAATTAGTAACAAGGGCGGAGTTGTTTTTCTTCCTTTCCATACAAACTGCAGTGTGCCAGTTGAGTACATTTGACTGCTGTTCCATGGCAATTAAATGTGCATTAATATTCTGTACCTCCATTATTTGCTCCAGAGTTCAGTTTTAGTATTAAATTGATTCATCATTGAATTACTGTATATAACTGTAGCATCTGAATCATCTTATAGCCATGGTAACCTTCCATCCATGTCTTGGAAGGTCATGCTACCAAAACAAATATCCACTGTCTGCCTTACCTGCAAAAAAAATAAAATAGATGGCTGATACTGTAATGAGGAATTGAGAGTGATGAGCACTTTACTGTTGTAGCAGGTCAACTAGAGAGAGATCAGTTAAAGTAAGGTTGTATGTTTTCCATACAGAAAACAGTACATTCTTAAAAGTGTTCAGCAAAGGCAGGGTGTTTTGTTACAGGTCAACCATTTGTAAATCCTGATGGGACACCGGCAATATACAATCCTCCCAGCGGCCAGCAGACAATGAGGAGCCAGATGGTGGGACAGTCTCAGCAGCAACCTTCGTCCCAGCAGCCTCAGCAGGTTCAACAGCCACAGCAGCAAATGGCAAGTCACCTTGTCACACAGGTAGGTGTAGTGGCCATTGAATAAAGAGAAGAAGCTCTCAGGAATGCGAAGGATGTCCTAAGGGGTAGAAGGGAAGGATACAGCTAGACAAAATATCTGGATGTTCTTTTCTTTTGAAACAAATGAGACCCATGATCTGTATATTCAATGTGAATGAAACAGGGAAGATTCCTGTTTCAATTCCATCTAAAGAATGGTTTCATTTTGAAAAGGGCTGTTAAGTGAGTTGGTGTATGTCTATATACGTTTATTTTGTAAAAATCATCCGTAAGTGAAAGCTGAAGCATTTTTTCTTGAACTAGTGTTGTCCCTAATTCCCTCCGAAGAGCCAGAGACCTTTCCCTGTCCCTTTCAACGGCAGTGCAGCTGAGTCAAAGAATCAAGTACAAACTCTTCCATGTCTAGTTATATCAAGACTGATCTCTGGGGAGCCTGCTCTCCATGCACTCCTGCTCTGAGCTAGAAGCTCTGGAGCTGCAGCAGGAGAGGGGAAGAGCAGCAGAGTTTGGGAACAGTGCCACGGTACATCATCTCTCTGGCCCCTGGGCTGGCTGTGGCGCCTGGCCAGACGTGGCTGAGCGTGGGCAGCAGGGTTTGAGTCTGGTTCAAACTTAATTTTGTGGATTTTATGCCTGTTCTCCCAGAGCAGAGAACTACTCAAGCAAGAATCCTACCTCCTGCTTACTCGCAGAGCAGCCAGGATCTACTGTGGTTCTTGTGTGACTTTATAATTCGGCATTTCGTCCCAGGTTACTCAGAAATACAATGTTTAAATTCAGTGAAGTTGCTTTGATTTTACTGGGTTTGAACTTACGTGTTTGACTCTTATTTCTTGATTTGGTCTTAGCAGTTTTAGAAGACAGAGGTAGTACTAAACCTGTGTAAGTCTCCAGTTAAATGAGGGATTAAAACAAAAGGAATAGTAAAGCTATTCCAAGGTAATAGTGCTGTAGAAAATTGTTCTTTCACTTAGATAACCATCTGCTCCAAGCTGATGGGCTGTCTGTTGATAATTCGAAGCCTGTTCTTTGTCAGGGTTTTTTTTTAGCTATTGTCTTCTGCCAAAGCAGCTTTACAATCATTATTCCTTTGCATGTGACACACTCAGAGTTAAATCAGTCGTTATCAGCAAAATTCAAATATAAGCTTATACTGTGCTGCTCTTCCATTTTATCTCCGTAAAATAAATGTAGAATCATAATTTGGCCTTGCCTTACATCAGTAATAAGAAGGTGTACCTGTGGCTTTATTTAATCTAACAGCCATCAAATATATGAAAATAGCAGAAAAATCTGTAACAAGGAATTGTTTGCTGTAAGGCTAAAATGAAGACTAAAATCGCAGTACCTGACCTCTTGTGCTTGGGCTGGCGATGAGTCACCTGCGTTTTCAGAGCTGTGTTTGAAACCTTTGCTCTCAGTAAGGGAGTCGGTGGTTGTTCTCTCTCTCTAAGTAGGTTGTATTTATTGTCTGTCACTGTGTTTATTTTGCAGCCTGTTCAGGCAATGCAGCCGTCTTCTCAGTCAGTCCAATATCCAGCAGTTTCTTATCCTCCCCAGCATCTCCTGCCAGTCTCTCCAACGCAGCAGTTTTCTGTGGTACTAAAGATTTCTATTTTTTTTTCTCCTTTACTTGAAGTTGAAGTTGGGTGTGTGAGCATGAGCATGCCCAAGAGCCTCTGGGGAGCACTGCGAGGGGTGTCCTGCATGAGAGACCCATCTAAATCTCGTTTCCTTTAATGCTTTTGGTACTGACAAGCATTTTGTGAGAGCATTCCCACTGATACTGGTTACCTAACCAGGAGGATGATGTTAGGAGCAGGTCTCTCTACCTGGTTAGCAGAGCCTCCAGAAAAATGTTTTGATGTGTCTGTGATAGGAGCTTGTGTCTCCCCACTTTAAGATGAGGGAGCTTAAATTGCCAACTTGGACATTTGAGATTTGTGTTATCCCCCTTTTATATTCACAAAGACTGGAGAACAGACCTCTAGAAATCATTATTTTTTATTTTACATTATTTTATCAGTACACTAAATCCACTGCCTGGATTTATTCCCTGGTGATACCAGAGCACTTGGAAAACAGAGTAGCAATGAACCAGCTGCAGAAGGTGTGGTGTGCTGTGCATCATGACAAAGCACCAATAGACATGTATAATAAAAATAAATAGAGTCCTCCTCTGGAGTCTGAATCTGGCTTGGTGCTTACAGGGCTAAGATGATACTGTTGTAAAACGAAGCTGACATTTTAAGAGGCACTACAAGATTTTTTTCCTGTTATTTTCTCTCTTGCTCTGGTAATCTTGTTTATGACTGATTTTTTCCCAAGGTAAAGATGTCGCATAGTTGTAGTAAGAGATGGAAACAAAGCTGAACGGGTTCTTGCAGCTAAAATAATGTTATTAATGCCTGTTAGATGAGCAGTACCATTTAAAGGACAATAAAAAATGTTCTGTGCTGAACAGAAGTTTCGTAGCTCAGTGCTAATTCTCTTGAAAAGCATCTTGCAGGCTGTTCTAGTGATAGTCATAGAAAGGCTGATAATTTTAGTGACTAGTTTAACAGTGAAGCTTCACCTGAGTTAATGTCTTCAATGTACGCTACATTATACACACAATGTATAAATTACAGGGGTTTGAAGCTCTTGGTCTTTATTGTGCAAATCCAGAGACACTCCAGGCTCAGTGAAGTTTCTTGTAGAATCTGTTTGCAGTCATTTGCCATCCAGGTGACAAATATCCTAGCTTTTTAAAAAATAACTTCAGACAGACAATTTGTGTGCCTGAATATGGATGCAGGGTGATGGTAAAGTTAATAGCAGTACTTTCTTACACTGCCTGAAGATCTGCCAGGAGTGCTTAAAATGTTGGCCCACGGTATCTGCTCTCAGAGTGAGAGGGTGACTCTCTGTGCAGTCCCTGGCAGTGCTTTCCACAAACAAACATTTTTGGGTTGTTTTTTTTTTTTTTTCTGTTTTGAGGTTTCCTGCCAATAAATACATTGTGCGGGATGGTTTTGGAAAATGAACACCACAGGGATGCGAACAAAATCAAAGAGGCTCCTTTTAAAAAATAGCATGGATGTTCTAAGTGAAAAGCATTTTTATAGTGCTTATTCCCTATCGATGAAGGGATGTAAAGAAGGGACCGTAATTGGCATATTAGCACAAAATGGAGTTTTATGCTGGATTTATTGCCAAATAGGTACCAATTAATGTCGAGTATTTACAAGTCTTATGATATGGGCACACATGAAGATGCATAGACCTACATTTGTAAATCTTTGATCTTCACAGAGAAAACTTGAGAGCGTTGATTAGTGTGGATCTTTTTGCAAGACTGAACAGATACTGCCTAGAATCCTTGTATCGTTACCAGCATGTAATGAGACTTTGGTTCATTGACTTTATTTGGTACATTCATCCTACCATTGATTTATTTTTCTTTTGTCCCCCTCCAGTCAAATAAAGTACCTGTTTCTTTCCAACACTGAATAAAAAGCCTTGAAATAGCAACTGAAGGCTTAGCTTTTTTGCCTTCTCTGTATTTGCCTGAATCCTACTGAATTCCTCTTGGGATTGTTTTGAAACAGGTGAAATTACCAGCATATGTTCGGCTGAGAAGTTCTGTGTTTGGGGGAGGAGTTATTCATAACGTTATTTTCATGCCCTTTATATTTAATATGTCTTTTTTGAACACTGTAAAGTTCACTTGTCATTTTGGAATAAAAAGTGGAGGGGCAATGTAAAAGCCAAAATAATTGGCTTTTGTGCCAAGTGATGCCATTCACTTTGCAGCCTGGAAGCCTTTGTCAAGGCATTTATAGTCACTTTCATTTTAATTGCCTCCGTTTTTGCAGATACCCATGCAAAGTTTGACATGCATTTGAGTTGAGTGATTCCTTTTCCCCTCGTGCTCTGTTTGAACTTATTTTGTTTTGCTCATCTGCGCGCCTACCGCCGACGTCATGTCTACATCATTTTCCTACTGCCTTTTGCCCTGCAGCGAGATGACATGACAACACAGTTTAACCAGATGAGCTTAAGTCGTCAATCATCAGGAGACAACCCCGAATCACCTTCCGGTCCTGTCTACCCGTCGCCTCTCCTGCAGCAGCCTGCCCAGCAGACGGGTTACATTATGGCTTCCCCAAGTCAGCAGCTTCCCCCAGGAGGCTTCACAGGGTCAGGCCCACCAGTATCCCAGCAAGTGCTGCAGCCACCGCCCCAGGGTTTTGTGCAACAACCACCGCCACCGGCTCAGGTAGGCAAAACCTGCGCTACCAGTTCGGCACGGTGCTCATTATAACGTTGGAAAGAGAACAGCAAAATATGATCCAACTTCTAGATTGGTTTGGGTTTTTTCCCCTTGTAAAAGATTAGCGGATTTTTAGGCAGCAGGGAACTTGCAAAGTCTCTGTTGTTGCCTGGCTTTCAGCAATTCCTTCCCAATCCTCACACCATTTTCTGACCATATGTTCGTACTCCAGGACACATCTGCATATGAATATGAAGGAGGATGGTGAGTAAATATCCATAGTCCTTTTTCCCTGTATGTAATACCAAAAGAGCAACATGCACATCAGCCCAAGTAGTCGTTAGTCATATTTAATTGACTTGAACATGTGAGAAGTCACAGATCAGTAATTTTAACTGTCTTCCTGAAGACTGATTATGTTTTACTGTTCACTACCAAAGATCTCTGCTTGTCTCCTGGGTACCTTTACAGAATATTGAAAGTGATTACTGTCAAGAAGTAAAATGCACAGATGAGTTTCTGGCCCATTTTCAAGGCATACACTTTAAAAAGCCAAATTTCTTTATCCAATTATACATAACTTCATTTAAACTCTACTTTAAAATGGCATTAATAGTATTTCTTCTGTTTTCATTTTATCCTTTGGAAGGAAATACGTAAAAAATAAAGTAAAAAAAGTCACCGTTTCTTTTAATGTACAAGTAGTATAAACCCCACTGATTTTTTTTGTTTTACGCTTCTTACTGAAAATCTCCAGTTGTGTTTTTTAATGGGATTCTGTATTGCCACAGTAATGAAGAATTTATACTGTTACTATGTTTTAAGTGGGCTAGAGATCTAGTTAATTAGATCACTAATTAACAATAAAAGAAATTTGAAGACTACTGAGAGGACTGTGACATCCATACCTTCTGTAGTTAGAAACTACGCAGCCATGTTTTCTGAGACAAGAGGAGGCTTGCAAAAAATAATTTTTAAGGTATTGAAGTTCAATACAATGCGAGGCTTTTTTAAATTGAAAAACATTGCTAGAAAAAGATTTCACTGTTTGCCAAATAGAGCATTTAAAAAAAAAATGGGAGGAAAAACAACCTGAAGAGCAGAATCCCCTGGAGAATCCGTCTCCCCACCTTAAGTTAGTAAGTAGACTGTCCAGACTTCTCTCCTCATGTACAACCCCCCACCCCCGCTGCCCTCAGTATTTTCAAGCATCATTTAATCAAACCTCACAACACTTCTAGTGAACCAGATAAATGTGAGCACCTCCATTTTCTGTGCTGTCCCTGCAGCAGGCGAAGTGATGCATTTCCCAGCCCTCCCGGGGGGCTTTGCTGCGGGAGGGAAGGAGCTGCAGCATCGTGCTGTGGACACCGTGCCACATCGTCTGCCCCGTTGGGTGAGACCAGGTTTGCAGCTCACCCTGGGGCCTCTGCCAGACTGCCTCCTCGGTTGGCTTTACAGAGGCTGCTTCTGTGGGTTTGCCCGCAGCTCCTGCCTGCGCATGGCTGAGCCTTCGTCCCCTGGGGCAGGAGCGGTGAGTTCCACCCTTGCGCATGCCCCAGGGTGCAGGGGTTTGGCTCAGTCTGGCATAGCGTTACTTCGTGGAGCTGTTTTCCTTTGTTAATACTTGCTTTGGTGCTACTGGAGAGGCAGATGAACTTCTTCAGAGGACAAATGATGAGGAGGTGCCTTTTCATATATAGGCTGCTACAGGACCAGTACCGTACTGATGTGGCTAATGGCCGCTGTGTCTCTGTCCGTACCCCAAATACGGTATATACGGGTGCTTTGCTCCTACGTTCTAACAAAGTGGAAAGTTACTGAGGGCAGAAAAATGTCTTTGGGGTTTGCAGCAACTTCAGTTCTTTCACTGGGGAATGGTTTGTCTTCGGGAGGGTGTAGATAAGGGGAGAAATTCGGCGCTGTCAGCTTCCTCTGCATCCACTGCACTGCGCTCACTGTTCATCTCCAGCTTGTTGCTATTCCAAAAAATCCTTGTCTTGTTCACATACCTGTGTAGAAGAGGGCACGTGGTGAGAGTCAGTCCCTGCTGCCTGTGTCCCTATATCTTGCAAGCACAGTGGCCTTGGTCTGCTGAGAGGGAGAGAGGGCAGCAGCTCTCTGTGTCTGCATGCACAGATAGGAACTTCTGATCAACATTTCCAGTTTTAATTCACTCTCTTCAGCCCTAGAACATGGCACGGTAGTTTGGATACTACTTGTAGTACATGTATGGCAAATAGGGGAGATCCTTGTTACAAAAAGATGAAAGCCTTGGGAAGTAGTAGTTCCTCTGCCCTTGGGAAATAGTAGTTCCTCCGCCCTAACAGCTCAGTTGTCTGTGCAGGGCAGCTAGAGCCCAACTCCCTGTCCTGCTCGTGGCAAAACTTCACTGTGGCAGTGGCTATTGGCAGGCTGAATCACCTGTTACTCTTTTGGGCTTAGACGCAATAGTAAGGCTGCTCTTAGATGCCAAAGCAGGTGGTCTGAGGCAGGCTTAAAAAAAAAAAAAAAAGCTAAAAAGATAGTAATGCATGCAAAACATTATGTGATACATCAATCAATGTGATGCAATCAATGTAAAATCACTTTTATATCTTAAATGTCGCTATTGAATTTATAGCAGTAAAAAAGAGGCTTGACTCTAATGGGTAATAAGTTTCTGTAAATGCATTGCTGATGAGGTTCTAGTAGGTTGGCTGTGGTACCCTGTATGCTTTTGGAAAACAGCAGTGAAAACTTGGGTGGAGGTCCTGTGAGTATGATCATTTGCTTTGGGAGCTGGAAGGAGAAAGGAGTGCTCTCCAAGCCTACAAATCCATTGGTACTTTATTTAAATTATTAGCTTTTGTGTTAAAGTTCAATTAAATGTGGCTCTACAGGTGCTCGCCAAGATTCTCTCTCCCAGTCTCTATCAACGCAGAAGCAGACTGAGTTTGAAATGACATGCCTAAGAAGTGGTGAGAGGACCCCTCAGGTTTCTTTTGCTCCTTCTTTTGTAGCAGCTATTTCCTAGCTTGACAGCAGACTAATGATTTAATAACCTGAAAATAATGATCTGTCTTTGGTCAGACAATTGGGGAAAAAAAAAAACCCAACACCACAACAAAAAACTCAACCATTAGTCTGGGTTTGCTGAAAGGGACTTTTAGCAGCAAACGCCTGTTTGCTCTCTGTAGCACAAATAGCAAACATACATCTTTACTTTCTCTATTCTCCTCTATTTTCAATTTTCTTCTCTTTCTGATGGTTCTTCTATAGCAACCACGGGCCCAGGCACTTCAACAAGGATCCACATTTGGTTCTTACAGCACTCCTTAATGGTGCTTGTCATTGTTCTGCCTCTGCAAATGAAGAAATGGGAAAATGGAGTACTATGCCAATAAGAAAAGATATGCTCCCTTAAAAGTTATTTTCACCTCTGACTCATTCTTTCTGGAGGGTATACTGAAATAATGATGTCCAAAATGGACAGGTGGAAAGGTGCCATAAATTCTTGGAGAGGCTTGGAGAAGTAATGCACATATTGAGGACTTTTTCACCTGGATTAATTTTGTGTCTTCGTTGATTTTAGCTGTCTCTTTGCAGAATCCCCCTCCTAGAGAGTCCATAGCTACTCTAAGACAAAATCTTTTTCCATAGCGTGTCTGCTCTAGGAAACTTCTTATAAAGAAGGTTGAGGAGTCACTGCAAATGAGTGGGTCTTTCCTTGATGATCTCAGCAAATTATATCGGAGGACATCCTGCAGTTGTTGTACACAAGCCATTATTTTTTGTTACTGTTATTGTAATTAGTGGGGGATGGGGAGAAAAATCCTTGAAGAATGAATGATCCCAATCAGTTAGAGATTGGGAAGAAATGGCATCTCTGTGTGTCTATACATCACTCTGGTTTCTGTTGTCTTGTCTCCCATTTATGCAACTGTAGCTGCCATTAGCAATAGCATCAGCATCACTAATCATCTGAATGAAGGTGTTAATCCAAACCTGGCTGGGTATCAGCATTGTTAAGAGAAAGTAGAATACCTGTCTGATGACACAATCGAGCTGCAAGTCAGCAGGGAGATAGCTTAGGAAAGTAAAATCAGCCTGAAAGATGTGTGGGGTCCTATTCCTATCATGAGGAATTAAAGGACATACTTGTGAATTTAAGGGATGCTGTTAGAGAGCAGTCCAAGGGAGAACCAGCCTGGTAATGGGTTTTGAACTGTATGTGGACAGAACAAAACAGAAAGCTAGTGCTGGATTGAGTCTCTGCCCATCATCTAGAGACAAAGCACATCAGGAGGAAAAAGTAATACCTGTTAATGCCATTTCATGAGTGTCTCTGATGTGATGTGCCTAGTCCTATTATAGTTTAAATTAAAGAAAATATATATGAAAGAAAAAAGAGATGTGTTAGAATGATCAGCCTACAAACAAGGAAGAGTATACACCTTCAGAATAAAAATATCCACAGGGGTAAGAATCATCCATCAACTATTTTCATGGTAATTATTAAAGAGAAGGGATTTTCATAGTGTCAAGGATTAAGATCAAGAAATTACACCTTTAGACTAAAGAAGGTAGTATGTATTTTGGTTACGGTCTCAGAAGGTCTTTTTTTTTTTTTTAAAGATAACCATATAGCTGTGTTGGCATGCTTGTTAGTGTCGTGGAAACCTCCTGGTTCTGTAAATGAAATATGTTATCATAGCAAAAGGTCTAAGGTTAGATGGTGTGTTCACATGGGAAAAAATTTCAAATCTAATTTGGCATGTCAGTAGGCTGCTACAGAAATGTAATGTTTTTGTTGAAGAGCACATAGCAGAGGTGTTAGTAACACTGATGTAACAAGAAACTAAAAAATTCAAGAGGGTCAGAGTAGACCATGTAAGTGATATGTGTTATCTCTTGTCCTGGTTTTGACTGGGACAGAGTTAGTTTTTCTTTTTAGCAGCTAGAGGAACTCTGTGTTTTGGATTTAGTCTGGGATTCATTATGAGAAAAATGTTGATAGCACTGATGTTTATAGTTGGCACTGAGACCTCAAGGACTTCTCAGCTTGCTGTGTTCTTGCCAGTGTACAGGAGCACAACAGGCTAGGGGGGAGCATGGCTGGGACAGAGGGTCCACAGCTCCCGTTATGATTTGAACTTGGATTTGGGATTGAGGGTGAAATTGGCCAATGGAGTGTTCCCTATCATGCAGCGTCGTGCCCAGTACATAGGTGGGGGTGGACCGGGAAGAAGAGCCTTTGCACTTCCGAGGTCCGTCTTGAGAGGGCTCTCTCTCTCGTACTCTCGGAGTGCTCTCTCTCACTTGTCCTTTTTGTTTTCGGGCCTCTCACTCATCTGGGATTGTGGCATTGGGACTTACCTGTTTTGGAATTCTTTACCGGGACAGGACAGACGTTGGTCACTGGGTGGTGAGCAATTGTACTGTGCATCATTTGTTTGTGGATACTATTATCTCTCTCTATATATATATATTAATATATTATCATTTTATCATGATTACTTTCATATTATTATTATCTCAACCTTCACGTCTTCTTCCCTTTGGCCCTTTAATTCCCTTCCCCATTCCCTGGGGGTGGGGGACGGTGGGCAAGCAGCTGTGTGGCATTTAGGTGCCAGCTGGGCTAAACCATGATATCTCTAATCCCTCTACTTCGACTGTTCACTAAAGTAATATCAGAGAGGACAAATAACGTATTTCAACTACTGATGCAGAGATGTGCTCAAGATAAGTGAAAATGGATCCTTCCAAACCCCTCAACTGTGAAAGACCTATTTATCCATGTCTATATTTTACACCAAGCCCTTCTTTTAATGTCAGATCTCTTAAAAATACAACAAAAAAAACCCAAAGCCCAAACTTCTTCTTTGCAAATCAAGTGTGCATGATTACTAGCAAATTCATCCATTAATCTTTCTAAATGAAATGATTGGATTTTTACCCAGTACTCTTACTCTTAACATTTTCCAGGCTAATAGATTGCACTCTGATAACCTTCTAAATGGGGTATATAACAAATGTATTCCAATGAATTGAGAAAATGAGAGAAAGGGAGAAAACTGTTCGACTAACTCTGAGGTGTTATACGTGTGGTAAAAATAAATACGTATTTCCAAATTACTCTAAATGCTTCAGTGTATGTATATGTCTTTGTGCTAAGTATGTTCAACTATAGACCTCACTTCAAAACCCATACTTTTTAGGCTATATTTTAAAGTTAATACCTACAGAATCTGAATCTTTCCACAAGAGATAATTCACATTGTTCTTAAATGCTTGTGTATTTTCAGATATCTAGGGGCTTGTCTGCACAAGGGAAGTGAAGAAGTTGAGAGTAAATCAAATAAATTTAAATCTTTTAAGTTAAATTAGGCTGCAGCCAGGAGAAGTGAGAGTATTTTCACAGGGGCTTAATAGTCTTTAATTTATAGAATATGGTAATAGAAAATAAAGACTATTTGAGAGAATGTCTACTTTGTTCCCCTGCTCAAAGGAAGAATCAGCTATTTGTGTGACTTTACTTAGGCTGAGTCTTCTCACTTCTTTCAAGTCTCCTATTGTAGAGTCTTTCTGAGAGCAATCTGGTTTCCACAAGATGGATTTATCACACTAAACTTGCCTGATCCCTTGTTTACACTGATGTTATGTTTGAAGAGTGATTTTGCACCTTAAATGTAGGGGCAACTTTCCTATACCTTGTGGCTTTTCTTTACAGAGAAACAAATTCAACATGTACAAAGGCATTTTGCTTTTGTTACTTTAGTGCGTAACCAAACAAATGACTTGAGGACAGGCTGCAGCCATTGGGTGTCACTTGGTATTGTCTGGAGGGAGGATAGCTTACAACATTTTACAGTCAAAACTTTGTCTTTCTGGTATTTGTTTGAATCTGGCTGATGTCATCTGGGAGTGGGGGAAGAAGCAGAAAAAAAAAATTTCCATTCATTCAAGAGAAAATGAATAGACCTTGAAGAGTGAATGGGTATTCAACCTCTTGACTGACAGGTGATATTGAGTGTCAGTCAGTCTAGGGGTTTCACCAGACCATTGTCGCCAAGTCCAGTTTTGATACTTCTTCCAGCACAGTTACTCATTCAGTAGTCTTCTACTTGTCCAATTAGCCATCCATGCCCTCTTGCCTAGTTTTTTTGTACCTGTGCCTTTTTTTTCCTCATCTGACATCATCTCTAGGAGAATCTGTGATCTCTCTTCTGATGTCCTAGCAGTATGCAAAAAGATGCAGTTACTCTGCTAATACTTTTATGGGTGATGAAGTTGAAGGGGTGTTCCAGGAACTTTTCCTCTGTGCAAATAAAAGTGGCAAAAACAGTTCTCATTTTTGTGTGGGAAAAAAACCCGAAAGCATTCAGTGTGACTCTGTGCATATGTCTGAGTAGGATAAATGCTGAACAAAAGAAAAAAAAGAGTGTGTGATTTATAAAGAAATGCTGACAGATGTGGCAGAAGTCAAGAGAGGAGCAACGTTCTCCCAAGCCTGTATCCCTCTGCAATTTGTTGATACCATATGCTGCCAAACTCTGCCAGGTACCCGCAGAATCTACTGCAGCTGAAAATGAAAAATTTTGAGTGCTTTGTACTTGCCAAGGGTCAGTTGAAAACAGTTTAGCTCAAATGTCTCACCAACGATGGTATAGGATGTATAGGAAAAATCTTTAGCTTCAGTCGCCCTCAAACTTCATATTCACCGACCTGATAAGGTGATGTAGTACACGTTGCTCTATAACAACAATAATAACAGAAAAAAGAAGCCCACCTGGCAGGACTTGCTGACTCAATACCTATGCTCAGCTGCTGCAGGAAAACAACTATGATTGCTTTTCAAGCTGTAATTGTATTCACACCAAGTGCAAGAGAAGCTTTACAGGGAAACGTTCATGTAAGGAAGGATATAGCTGTTAAACAAAAGTGTGAATTTAATAATTGTTTCTTACAAGTGTTAAGGGCACACGCACTCCATCTTTCCCTCTATTTCGCTTCTATATATTTTTACTCCAAGCCATTCTTTGCTTTGAATTGACCATTTTCTCCAGAGTTCGCTTAATAGTTCAACATGCTGTCTCTATGTATTATGTTGATATGGAAAGTGTTGTTTGCATCCATTTTTCTGCAGCGTTTGATATTTTACTGTGATTTCTTCGATACATGTATGTAGCTTTTTATGCATCCTGTACATTTTTGCCTCTTTCAATTAAAATTCTTTTTCTCCTGTTTCTTAAAGTATCTGAGAAGAAATTTGGGCATGGATAGCCCTTTTCCTAGCAAAGCTGAAAGTAAGCAGCAGTTCTTGAAGAGACACAATGCAAACTTCTCCTTGATTACTGTTACCACTAATATGATTGACTTGAACTCTTTCTTCCCTTCCAGTTTTGTTTTATTTTGTCAATCTTTGAGGTTAGAGTAGGCAGTTAGCTGCTGTTCTCTCTTTCTCTGCAGATGCCAGTGTATTATTACCCATCTGGTCAGTACCCTACCTCAACAACTCAGCAGTACAGACCCATTGCCTCAGTTCAGTACAATGCACAGCGGAGTCAACAGATCCCACAGACTGCACAGCAAGCAGGTATTTACATCTGTTACTCGTTTCTTCAGCTGCTCATGGTGCCTTTGCTGATGAAAGTTCCGCTGGACTGGAGGCTGGCGGAT